AGTTATTACTTAATATATTTTCCCTGAGCTAAATATCTGGACTTGAGCTAAACATTTCTGTTCCCTGCCATAAATAAAATCTGGAACTGAGGGGGAAAAGCTGCATCAAGAAGGAGGGGAATGGTGCTCTGCCTTATAATGATGGACTTGAAATCCATGTCAACGGCTGCCTGTTAAATCTGATCTGCAGTTCAGCCCTGGCTAAAGAGTTCAGTCCTGGGGGTACAGCCTCCCAGCTGATACGAAGCCTGCAGTCCACAAGGAAGATATCACAGGCCAGATATGGCACATACCCAAGAAAGAAGAATCAAAACATGTGGAGAAAAAAAAAACACTTTAAATCACAGAATGAAATTGAGAGGGAGCACACAATGAATTGTTTTTAAGGCACACTCCTGAGTAGCTCAACAGCTAAAAGAGCTGTGGCCAAGCCTGAAAACCTGAGTTCAGTCCTAGGACCCACATGTTGGGAGGAGAGAACAAACTCTCACAAGCTGTCCTCTGACCTCCACATGTACACAGAAGCACATCAACACACAAACACATACACACATAAAATAAATAAATAAACCTGCAGTAAAAATAAATAAATAAATGAGTAAATAGATAGATAGATAGATAGATAGATAGATAGATAGATAGATAGATAGATAGAAGTAATCTTAAATGATGGAAATCCATGTCAATGGCTGTCTCTTAAATCTGCACATGGATTACAAAGGTATAAGAGAGTTAAACAGTCTGCAATAATAGAACAAAATATTTGAACTTGACCTCATACACAGATTGAACTGATAAAAGTAACAGTGTTGGGTATGTGCAGGGAGCAGTTTTAGTGCGTGTGTAAGCAGACTAAGAGGAGAAAATGCATTCAGAAGAGATTCAAGGAGGTCCCTGGAGTGATGGAGGTCTAGCAGTGATGCTGGGAATAGAAATACAGTGCTAAAGGAATGTAGCCATAAAGGAATTAGCCATCATGACATTCTCCTAATCTCATAGATCAGTGTCTTGCTCAGCCATCATCCGAGAAGCTTCCTCCTTCAGTAGATGGGAATAAATGCAGAGACCCACAGCTGGACAAGGTTCAGAGAATGAGAGACCTTGGAACACTCAGTCCTCATTGCGATGCCCCCATCAATTCCCTCCCCTCACAGCTCAGGGAAACCTGAGGAAGAGGAAGCAGAAAGAGCGTAAGAGCCAGAGGGAATGCACAACACCAAGAAAACAAGGCCTTCTAAACACAGCAGGACCAATGCAGCTATGAACTCACAGCGACTGTGGCAGCATGCCCAGGGCCTGCACAGGTCTAGACCTGATAGGGTCCCACTGTTGAGAGGGGAAGTGGACACATACCCCATCCCCAACTCAGAGCTGTTTCCAGTTGATAACCACTCACAAATGAAAAATTAGTTTTCTCCAATGGAGTTTCACTGTTTATACAAACTACTCTTAAGGGCAAGGCTCCATTCCCAGCAATAGATGGCCAACACAAAAAGAACTCAGTGGCATTTTAGAGATTCTTTGTCTCAAAATGCTTTGGGGAGGGGGGAGCTTTTTTCCTTGCATATATGTTACGGTTTCTAGTTTAGTGCTTTTATGAGATTTCTATGTAGGTGAATGTGTATGTCTCTGTATCTACATGTGTTTTTAAGCTTTTCTTTCCTCCTTTGTTGTTTGTTTATTTGTTTGTTTTGTCCTATTCTGTTTCTTTGCTCTTATTTTTTTTCATTTTATTTTATTATTTTTAGATGCCTGTTTATATCATAATAAGATAGAGAAAGAAATTATGTGGATTTGTGTTGGTAGGAAAGTGTGGAGAATCTGGGAGGAATTGGGGGAGAGTAAGCTATAATCAGAATATACCATATTAAAAAACTTACTTTCAATAAAAAATATTCTAACCAAAAAAATAAGTTAAACTGTAGGGAAAAGAATACATTATGAAATTCTCAAAGAATAAATAACTTTTTAAAAAAAGAATCTAAGAGCCTAATCTCTTCAAAAATAAATTGTAAAATAGGTATATATTGTATACATGTGTATTCATGTAACAAAATCAATAAGAAGTAAAAAACAAAACAAATTTTAAAAATTCTCCTAACCGGACTCAGAGTTGTCTCCAATCCTAGACACAGATACCCACCACCACCACCCCCACTAAGAGCAAGAAACAAGACCTGGTGTGGTAGTGCACACCTTAATCCCAGCACTCAGGAGGCAGAGGTAGGTAGATCTCTGTGAGTTCGAGGCCAACCTAGCCTACAAAGCTAGCTCCAGGACAGCTAGGCCTACACAGACAAACCCTGTCTCAAAAAAAACCAAAACAATTAATAATAATAATAATAATAATAATAATAATAATAATAAATAACAATAAGATTAAATAACTAGTAAGAAATAAGGGGCTGGGGAGATGTCTGAGTGGTTAACACACTTGTGCTTTTGCAGAGGACCCAGTTTCTCAGTCCCCAGCACCCACATGACAGCTAACAACCATCTTCAACACCAGTTCCAGGGGCTCTAACACTGTCTTAGGACCTCTCAGGGCATCAGGCATGCACATGATGCACACACATCTGTGCACTATACACATAAAATAAATCTTAGGAACACATTTTTAGAAATAACAAGAAATAATTGTATCTACAACCAAAGTCACCTTCAAAGACATTTATATTGTCAGTTTTCTTGTTATCCTAAGACAGAGGAGATGGGAGGGAAAAAATAAACAGCAATAGCCTCAGCAATGCAACCTTCCACTTAGTCTGTCTTCTGGGTTCATCACCCCATCCTACCCACCTCTATACAACCTTTTAACATACACAACACATAAATCATCCATACATTCAGCCCCTCAGCAGTAACCTAGACCACTAGATCAACATACAGTGTACAGGTCACATAGCAACTGTAACACATAAGCTTAGATACCTCTCCTATGAGAAAACAGACAATTTAAAATGGCAGTATTTCCCTCCAACTGGGCAAAAGAGAAGCAAGACAATAGATGAACATAAAGATCACATGGTTATTCGGATGGGTGCATCATGTTAGAAAATCTAATAGCTCCCTTTCTGAACCACACCTTGACTGGAAAGAATTATAATAGTGTATTAAAACAGCAGTACGCAAACATTCCTGTGGCAGTGATGACATTTGAAGTTCAGCAATATCCTGTAACAAGATGAAATACTGTAAGGATAGCATAGTTAAGAAATGGCCTGCTTCTGGGAGCTGCCTAGTAATTCATTTCCTAGAATAAGGTGACACTAACAAATTCTTTGATTTGAATCAACTTTCTACAAACCCAGTGCAAAAAAAAAAAAAAAAAAAAAATATGTTGCATCGGTAAAACACATCTAGACCATAGCTGTCCATTCCACAATAAAGCACAGACAGACAGTCCTCAGGAGTCATCCGATGTACCTTAGAGTCTTAGCAGACTTCCCAGACACTCTTCCCCTCTCTGCACTATTCAGAATGGTTCAGCTCAACGACCTAGCCCCCCACCCCACTCAGTGCAGCTTTGATGACTTTCTCACTTATCTTTAGTTTCACCCATACCCAAGGTGCTTTCCTTTCATTCTCCCTTCTGTGTTCTTTTACCTTTCTCTGAGTCTCTCATTCTCTCCTTCCCTTTTTTGTCCCTATTATCTTTATCTACCTTTCCTCAGCCCCAGTGGCTGTTGCTAGCTATAACATATCACACTCAAACACCTTTCCCTTCTGACTTCTGAGTTCTGCTATTTCGTCCAAGACCTCCTCTTCTCTTTTTCTCATATTCTCTTCCAGCATTCTATCATGCTGATCTCCTTGCCTCTCCACCAACAGATCCCAGCCATGTTCCTGTTTACACAGTCTATGTAACAATAAAGAGCTCGTGGAAAGGGGGGATAAATATCTATCAAATGTCAGGCCATAAAACACCACACATAAGGGTATTTGGACATGAATGATTTCTTGTTGAGATTTCATTTCTCAGGTACCTTCATGTTTTTACTTATTTACTTTTGCCTACTGCCTGAGATAAGCAAAGGGACAGTTGGGATGCCTCTCTCTCCCATGACCTGCCCACCTCTATTGCACCCCATCCTCTCATTAACAGTAATCCACTATGGCCCAGGATTGGAGGCAGTGACTTTCTAGAACATCACAGATCACTCCAGGACTGGGAGAACAGAGTAGCTGCTACATGTGTCCAAGAAACACGTGCCACAAGCATCCACTGTGCGTTTGATGCTAATGTGTTGTTGCACTTGAGTGGACTTCACTCAGAAGGCTGGACTCTGTTTTCATTTAGATAGCATTCTGATTCTCAAAATGTAAATGGCAGGTCATTTTTATTTATTATCATGATACTCTCAGATGTGCATAAGCTAATGATATAGAAATGCTGGACTAAAGTGCCATGTCCTCGCAATCTCTCTTTACTCTGACATCAATTACCTTCTTCCTTCCAAAGTTCAACTCTTGAGACTTTGTCCTTACGTTAAATCATGCTGTGTGCACATGCACGACTTTTTTATTGTAGTTCCTAGATAACCTTTTGAGATGACAGAATGCTGGCACGAAGAGAGGCAGTGAAAGAGTTGAGGACTGCCATCAGGAGGAGCCACGTGAAAAAAGATAAACACACTTTCACTAAGTCTAAAACCTTACATGGAACATACTTACCCTAAAAACATGGCCATTGTTTACCTGAAATTCTGATACAACTTGCTGAGCCTGGCAAACCCAAGGGTGTATTCTAGCTCTTCTTTCCTTGAAGCTACATGACCATACAAACATGGATGCAGTTTGATTTATGTGAGCTACTAATACCGCCATACACACAGCTTTCGTGAAATGGGAAAGAAGAAAACAAGAGGAAGAAGAGGAGGAGAGAAAGGAGGAGGAGAAAGAGAAGGAGGCGAACAAAGAGAAGGAATGAGAGGAAAGGAAGAGAAGAAACTGCAGTGTGTTGTGAATTCTTAGGTGAAAACAAGACACACAGCACAAACCTTATCAGGTAACTTGTCAGGGATGCAACTTATCCGTTCCAGTTCACTTAGCACTGGGCAACTGGGCGGGTTAAGAGTGGTTCTTGTGGTTGTAGGATCGGGAGTGGCAGTTGTGTCAGGATCTAGGATTGTCATATTACAAAAGTAGACATAAAATGGTTAGAATTATGACCACAGGCATTCAAGAGGACCAGGTTTCTCAGCAGTTCCAACCCTGTTAATTCCTCTACTGACTGAGCTCTAGTTCCATGTGCTTAAAGTTCTTCATTTTTACTTTATAACACCTTATTTTGTTCTTGCTAACTGTATTTATCTCTGTGCATACCAACATCATCTCCTTCTTTGCTGGAGTTCCCCTGAAACATGGTACATACAAGAGAAAGTCCTCAGTCGTTAGAAGGTTGTAAAACTGGACACCAACTTGATTTTAGGCTACGTCAGTAAACCATATCCTGTCGGTCAAATTAGGTCAAAAACCTGCCTCTGTAAATGAAGTATCTCGGGAACACAAATATGCTCATTTATTGATAGCTACTTCGTGCTGCGATGGTAATAGTACACATGATAACAGAAACCGTATGAGTCAGTCAGTCTAAAGACTGAGTGAAGGTCAAAGGACAGCCCAAATGAGTCAGTTCTCTCTTTCCATCATGTGAGTTCCAGAGATTGCTCTCAGATCATCAGGTTTGGCAGCAAGTACCTTTTGCTACTGAACCATCGTTCGGGGGGGTACTAATTCTCTGGCCCTTATAGAAGAGTCTGCCGATCCCTACAGAGCTATACACAGAAAAGTACAGTAAACATGCTGTCTTAAGCACAGCAACTTCAGTTCTGTTTTCTGGAGCAATCCCTAGTCCCTTAGAACACCTCTGAGTGGTGGCATTCTTTTGTAATTATAAACTCCCAAGTGACAAAACACTTAAAGGAATCCACAAGTCTAGAAACTACCCCAGGGCTCAAAACTTTGATTTCTAATATAAAGATCAGTAAAACAGAAAGGGCATTCTTACTGCACTCTGACATAGGGAAGAAGCTTTATTTACAGTGCTATCTTAATAAACAATGACATTATAACAAGAAAATGCTATTTCTAGTTGTTTTTCTTTGCACTGGGGTTCCAGTTCAAAAAAACCGATGTGTTAAACAAATTGTGTTTGGACAGGCTTCTGCATAAGGCTTTAGCTTCCCCTTCAGGATCATGGAACTTTAAAAGTTAAATGACCTTTAAGAGTCTAATCTTACTTTCTGAAAAAGAAAAAATTGATGTAGCTGGGGATTGAGTAAAATGGACAAAAACTGGTTTGGCTGCCATCACAAGCTGGCCCTTCGCTGCCTGGTTCCCACAGAAGTGATTCCTGTGTGAGGTAGATAGGAAAGTCTGGATCATTCAGCACACCTTAGCCGATCTTTTGAGATATATCAGCTCAAAAAACTTTTGATAAAAATAACATGAGTAGGTTTTTAAGAACCAATTTTGGGCCTTAAATAGTTGAATTGATATATAGCAAATTATATGCACATTATTTCCTTTTACATAGCATGTTGTCCAATATCAATATTAACAGAATTATAATCATTTTATTATATTCAGCTAATACAAATGTTAAGTCAAGTGTAGAGCTGGATCCAGTGCACTAGTTAAATGTGGAAATGGAGGTTTCAGAATTTAAACCTACTATCTATTGACCTGCCATGATTTGTAGATATTCAGTAAGATACGTACAGTCTGCACGCATTCACATCCACATTCTTACATACACGAAGCCATATAAAAGTGTGACTTCTCTACCGTCCGTGGTGAGTTTGCTCTGATAGGGGAGAGACTGGGGGTCACTCGTTACCATTTGATTGTGTGGAAGTGGCTAAGAGCACGATCAGAACCACAGCGACAATGAACAACACAAGCAGCAGGACAATGAGAATCAGCTCCAACTTGCTGAACTTTTTTAACCTCGGTCTCGCCATCTGAAAAGAGAGAGGGAAGTTTTGAATTTAAAATGTGTTTAATTGTTAGCTAGTACATTTTTAATCCCAAAGCTCAAATGTATATAAAACCTTCCACCACCTAAATTTTCAGGAAAAAAAAAAAACAAAAACAGTTCCTGACCAATTTCATTTTGCCATCATTCCTGGTCAGTTGTTGCCCTGATCCTGCATTGTTATGAGGCCAATCTCAAACTTCATCCATCTTAATCTGAAAATATTACAATTTATTTTCAAAACACAAGAAACTTTACAAAACAACTAGCAAAAACACTATTATGGCACCTATATATTTTTACAGCAGTTCCTTATCGTTACCAAATGCCTAACTAATGCTGAAATTCGCCGTTTATAAACTTTTCAAATGACTTTTGTAATTTTTTAAACAAATTTTTATAAACGTTGGGTCTCACGAAGATGAAAGTAGGATGTATATCTTGTCATTAGTTTATATCTCAGTCACTTTTAATCAAAAGGGCCCATTCCATAGACATTCCACATAGCTTGGATGTCATTAACTGCATTCTCATCAAGCTAGCATGTTTATCTTATATTTAAGGTTAATTAATAGGATCCAAAATTTTCTCAGATTTATTTTTGATGGTTTTAGCAGCAAAGGAGCGTAGATGGCAAAGCATCTTCATCAGGAAACATAAAATCCTGTTTTCTTTCTTGTGGTATGAGCAGCCACATGGAATTTCCAAGATGTGTTATCCCATTAGGAATTACAAAGTGGGGTACTGTGATTCTTTAGTCTTTTGTTAGAAGAAATATTTCTATAGACAGAAACGTTACTTTATCTACTCCTTGCTTCAGAAGCATGCGGTTCCCAAAGGGATGATGAGTTCAGTGTTTAACTCCTTTATTTGCTGCTTGTCAAAATATTTGTTTCCCTAGTATCTTTCAAAGGAGACTGAATTTAATATTTCTAATCATTTTCATAAGTTGGTGGATTTCAACACACTTAATGCTTACAAATCCATTGATAACATTAATTCTCATGTCTTCCCATCTTTGTCCAGAAGGGGGCCTCTTTAACCTGGTATAACCCTAAGAATCTTTTGTAGTATTCTTCCTCTCTGGCACAATATGACATCCCTGGTTCCTCTTGCACTTTCTCTACCGTGGTCTGTACTTACATATCAACGAGTAGCCTCTATTCTTTCTAATGGGTGTAATATTAGGAACAATAGTGAAGATGAGAGCTGATGGAATTCAAACTTAAGAATTTAGAATTCTAGTGCTCCATGCATCAGCTTAGGTAGCGGTCACTTTCTAAGGGGTCATCCAATGGGTCCTTGAGGATTTGCTATTTTATTTTATTTTATTATTTATTTATTTTATTTTCTATGTTTTGCTTGCATGCATGTATGTGCACCATGTGTGTGCCTGGTACGTGGAAAAGTCAGAAAAGAGTTGCAGATCCCCTAGAACTAGAGTTACAGATAATTGCTTGTAAGCCACCAAATGGGTGCTGGGAATCTAACCCAGGTTCTCTGTAAGAACAACAATTGCTCTTAACTGCTGAGCCATATCTCCAGCTCCAGGAAATTTTATTTTAAAAATACAGAAATTACACATTTACTTCTTGCTATGATTTGACTATCTATACATCCTTCTGAAATCCTATGATGCAACCTAACATCCAATGTGGTGGTAATAAGAGATGGCATCTTTGAGGAATTGATTGTCATGAGGGATTTGGGTGAAGGAAGCACTGTTGCACATTATGAAGTCCTATTCTTATCAGCATGCTCTGATGTGACCTTCTTGTCTTCTGTTTTATGGCCTTATGGTCTGAGACCCACACACACAGTAAAGAGGACACATGAGCATCGGTCTTGCTCACTCAAAGCCACCTTCCTCCTCCTCACCCCTCCCACTACTTTTCTGGCCGGCTTATAAACTATGCGCTATTTACTCAAAGAGAGTATGTCCTACCTTTTTCCCTCCGACCTTGATATATAACAGAAATTTAGTTCCTGTGTTGTCATTCTCTACTCTACTTATCAGTGTGCACTCATATACCCTCTCCTCCGTCAGAATTACTCAGTTCTTTGCTCAGAGATTAGATGACAAGAAGATTTACTTCTCATATACTGGTGAGAGAGCACAGTGAGTGTAATTGACTCTTACTTTACAAAAGGAAGCAGAGCTGACAAGGACCACCTTGTGGTTTTCTACAATGAAGTGCCCTATCTCTACTGTTCCCAGCTACTATCTACAATATCTCACGTTAGCAAAAGCTTTCTACGGAATTCCTTAATAGTTGTCTTTCTTGTAAAATTCCACAAAAGTTAATAATATTTCATGCTTGCTATAATTAAATTAACTAATAAGGCAAAAGGTGATCATATGTTCACTGTAGGAGAAGGGATATTAGAATGACATTCCCAGTGACCAAGGCTCTTTCTCTTTGGTGACTGCTTACAGCTGTGATGTGGAGGATTGTTCTTTATTCTATTATTTTAAACACTATGTCAGATGCTTTAAAAGAACACCTCCACATCTGGTCAAACTGTACACACATGGGCTCCATGGTATCTTGGCAAAAATTTAAAGTTAGACCCATAACCCAGGAGTTCCATTTGTGGCAATTTATCCCATCAATGTAATTGTGTATCTGAGAATCAATGTATATACAGATGGTTTTTGATCATGAGGACAACGTATCTGTCTAGAATGAGGGCACTGAGTACACGAGACACACTCAAATTCAGTGTTATGTAAAAGCATGTTTATGTAAAAGTTTTAAGTCCACAAATCCTATGACATTCTTCTTTCCTGACCCTTTGAAGCTGGGCTGCACTTACTTTAACAGAATATGATGGAAGCCTAACTTGCAAGACCAGGTTACAAATGGAATTGTAACTTCTTCATGCTCTGTCGCTTGGATCATAGTCTGAAGAAACCGGCTGCCATATAAAATACTGAAAGAGACCTACAGAGATTTCAGACAGCCTACACAGAACAGAGGACTTCTGCCTTGAATCACATTAAAAGTGGCCCCTCCATCCCAAGCAACATACTTCACTTGACTACTGACGAGGTTCATAACTCATCCTGAACCTCATGAGTGACCTTCAACCATATTTCTCACCTGGAGAAGCTAGGAGACAATAATTTTTGATCTTTTAAGCAGAAAATTTTGGAGTAATTTGTTACCTAACAATACATAACCAATGCAGATAGATAAATGTGACCTTTAAATAAGGTCCCATTGGCATTTTTTGAGTCTTCCTGATTCTTGGCAAACACCTCTTTTGTTTCCTGTGTTCAAATGTAGTAACTGCTCTAAAGAAAGAACCATAATATGTATTTTCCAGATATTACAACAGAAATACTTCCTTAAGCCCTAAAAGAGGAGGGGAGAATTACCTTTCCAGTATTACCTGATTGGCTTTTGTTTTATTTTCTGCCTTAGTGGGGCCTCGGAGGTGACACGCACTTACTCCATTAGTAATGCAATCCAAGGAAAACCAAGATTAGGCAAGACACCATAAAACTAAGGCGGAGGAGAGGAAATGAATACCAGGGGACAATAAAGAAGTGGGAGCGGCCAAGATGCTGAGCTGGGCTGTCCCTTGGGAATGGGAGAAGATCCTGTGAGGATGGCAGAAGATGCTAAGAGGATGAGAACAAAGAGAATGTTGCTGTCTCAGAGATTCAGCAAAAAAGGGGGCGCGGTATTTTATAAAGGGATACAAAAAAGAAAATCCTCTCCAATGTTTGTCCGTACAAATCAGAATATTAATTTGATGAGCCAAGAACACACACTTGGCTTCTGTGGGAAGAGGTGATTTCACTTGGAAATCACTGGTAGCTGAAGCCATTCAGGAAGAGACCCAAAGCGATGGTCCAGTGTTCACGAAGGTCTCTTGGGTTGCTGTGGCAGGAAGAGGCATCTTCAAAAAGAGAAGACAGGGACCAGCCAGGGGAACACTGTTGCCACACAGATGACAGCACATCCGTCAGAATGGCCTGGCAAAGAAAACACACCTGACCCAAAGGAACAAGGCTAGGAAGATTGGAAATTAAATGTGTTAGAAGGGGAATTCTGAAACCTTCGACCAATAAAATTTTCAAGTGAAGTTCTATCAGACTCTCTGAGGACTCGGGTTGGCAAAGGCGGAGGGGGACAGGGGGCAGGACACGGGGGGGGGGGGGGGGTGCTTCACCTGAAAATCGTGAACTGAGGAAAGAATAACAGACTTTCCGAGGCTTCGTAAAAATTATAAAGCCAGTTCAGTTTTTAGAATAAAAGCAGGCTGGAAGTCAGGCTACAGATAGAGGAAGCAAAGCTAAACAGCGTCCATGGCATCGCTTCTGTGCCATGATAGAGGAAACAATACCAAATTAAGAACTGGAACAGTAGAGAAGTTTGTCCCAAGTGTCCTGAACATCTTCTGACTCTGAAAATAAAGGCAGAGCCTAAAGGAGAGGAGAAGAGGAAGAAAAGAGCGAAAGAGGGAAGAGTGAGAACGAAAGGGAGGGTATATTCTAACCACTGAAGAAATGAGACACAGAAGCAGGAATAACTGAAGACTATCTAAGGAAAGAAAAGCCATGAAGACGGGTTCAACTGGAGCGGAATAGGATTATCAAGAGACTGGGGAAACGACGCTAGTGCACGATGAACATTCATATGAAGGGATGGATACGAGAAAACCAGAGGGGAACAGAAAGTTCCCAGTCCAGGCAAATCTCCACCCACATGTTCCCCAAATCCTCAAAGAGGGCTCCAGACCACCACCTGTGAATCCCACCCGAAGACCTGAGAGGGAAGGATTACAGTATAATTACTGATTGCTCAGAGTCCTAACGGCAGACCTGAGGGCCTTATACGTCATCTGAGTGACGAAGTAACTATCATAACGGGCGCAGCGTTAAAGAGTTTGCTTCCCAGGGACGATACTGCCAAAGTATCTGACTTCACTTTAACCTACGTTGAGGGGTAAGACAAACAATGCAGGAGGAGCCTG